ACCCCACGTCCCTGCATGTTTTCGGCCACTGCCACAGGTGCCTTTCCCCAGCCTTCTGCCCTCTTCCACAGCTCTCCCGCCTAATGTTCTTGCATGGTTATTTCTCTCTCTCTCTCTCTCTCTGGTCATGGCACTTGGGGGGACATTTGGGTAGGGGGGCATTCCTGGGAGCTCATCCTATGGCCATTTCTCTTTAAAAACCAGTAGCGTTTCAGCTGGCAAAGCTGCTGTACAGATACTCCTCGACTTAACGACCGCCGTAGAGCCCCAGCCTTTCCATTGGTAAGCGAGACAGCTGTTAGTTTTGTCCCCCGTTTGATGACCGTCCTTGCCGCCGTCGTTAAGCAGTGAGTTACCACCAAGTCCTCATCTTCCGAGATCCATTGAGGCCAACAGTTGCATTCGCTCGGCAAAACACTTCTTCGGTGATGTTTTGCCCCGTTTCACGGTCCTTAAGTGAGTCGAGGCAGTTGTTAAGTGGGGAACACGGCTGTGGAGTGAGCCTGGCTTGCCCCATCGACGGAAGGTCGCAAAAGCGGATCACGTGACCTCCCCGGGAGACTGCAACCGTCATAAATACGAGTCGGGTCGGTTTTTCGGATCAGGTGACCACGGGGACGCCACGACGGTTGTCAGTGTGAAAAACGGTCGTAAGTCCCTTTTTTTTCAGTGACGATGTAACTTGGGACTGTCCTGAAGTGAAACGGTTGTAAGTTAAGGACCACCTTGTACAGTGGCATTTCTCCCATCCGATGCCTTTGGGTTTAGTTCTCTTTGACCGAAGAAAATGATAAATGGTACGAAGGAAGCCATGGATGGAGCCCTGTCCATCCTGGAAGCCTTGACCATGGTCCACCCCTTGTTCTCCCCACTCTAGAAGGGCCTCTGGGGGTCCTTTGCGGCCTGCATTTCGTAAGCAAACGTCCATCTGTTCCAGGGCAGAGCGTAAACGCCAATAAATAAAGACATTCCCCAGCTCAGGGTTGAACTGTGGAGTCCTTGGTCCTCAAGAAAGCATCAGAGACTCCATGGAGGTTGCGTCCTTTCCTAAGACCTTAATGTGGTGAGGGATCCGGAATGCCCTCGCTCAAACCTGATATTCCTGAGACCCTCTTTGCGCTCATCTTGACCAAGGGGTCTTCCAACTTGACAGCTTTAAGACTGGTGGACTCCAACTCCCAGAATTCCTCCTCCAGTCGTGTTAGCTCAAGAATTCTGGGAGTTGGGAAGTCCACCAGTCTTAAACTTGCTAAGTTTGAAGACCCTTGTGATAGATGATAGATAGATAAGAGAGAGAGAGAGAGAGAGTTGATAGGTGATAAGTGATAGATCAGGGGTCTTCCAACTTGACAGCTTTAAGATTTGTAGACTTCAACTCCCAGAATTCCTCCTCCAGTCAGGTTAGCTCAGGTATTCTGGGAGTAGAAGTCCACCAGTCTTAAAACTTGCCAAGTTGGAAGATCCCATGGTCTTGACGCTAGGCTAAGATGCTTCCATTTAATTCGGCTTGCTAGTCTACACAACGTCTTGACCTGCCCTCAAAATTGACGACCGCTTGTCCAGCGTTCATGTTTCGTTTTGCTTTTTGGCTCTTAGCGTATCCGGTTTTAAGAGGCTTCCAAGTCTCATGGCTCTTGTATTTGAGTTAAAATAATCTTCTCTGGCATTGTATGTCATCTTGTCATCCGACTGGATGCGAGGTAGAATAGACATATTTCCAGTAAGAGCGTTTCTGAGCTAAAGGGAAACAGAGGTTTTAAGGGTAGCATTTCAGCTTGGTTGCCACACCAGTAGAAACATATTTGCAAGCAAATAAACAAATGTGAATTGGGTGAATATGAATTGATTTTGTTTTGGCATTGAAAAAGAACAAAGTTAAGCAAGCTCGTGTTTTGGAAGGCAGAAAGGAAACTGTGGTAACCCAAACAAACCAGCCACTCATACACAGATATGTTATTGCATAGTCTCATTTTTGTTGCAATTAAAAGAGTTTTGAAAAGTTTTCTTATATTGACATAAAACAGTTATAGATTGTTGTGTTTTATAGAGGGCTTTTTTTTTTTTTCAGAATGTAAACAAGCATAAAAAAATACTCAGTCTCAACAATGTACCGGCTTGTTGTATTATATTACTGCAACATTCTGGAATAAACAATAAACACTGGGTCTTAGAATATGGTGAATTCAATTTGTGGAATGGAACAGTTTGCGATGTCATTTCTGCACAGAAGTAAAAAAATATACTTAGTGGTAATATATATACACGCATACATCATACATACATACATACATATAAACAGGTTATTTATTCATCTCTCCCTATCCATTGAACATTTTCTTCTAAAATCATACTCTGCAAGAAAAGAAAATATTGTTTTGAACTCATGTGGAATCAAAACAATGGGAAATTTATGTTATTCCACCGTTAACTAGAATAATAAATACAAACCACCAGCCTTTGGTATAATGTGCCTTTTAAACCCATCTGTTGTGGGATCTGTTCCCAAACGCCATCTGGTTCTTTGCCAAGAGGCAGAAGCGATCAAAGAGAGAGGTGTACTTTTCTCCCTTGTTAGAATGACAGTTTCCCCTGTGGGTTTGTGCTTTTTGTCTTGAGCTGAGAACTTGGTGTCAGAGAAGATCACTCTAGCAGAAAGAAACCGCAGTCATTGTTGGTGTTTGCATCGTGCACTTCTGCTGAAAGGTTAGGAATAGATATTGATAGCCCCTAGATCCTAGATAGCCCTTCCTAGAGATGGATGCTTGAGTAGCCAGCTTCCTTGTCTAAGGCTGGCAAGGAAATTACAGACTGAAATAACATCCTGCAGCTTTGGAAAAGTTTAGAGTAGACCTGACAGACAGAGCTCCTTTGGCATTTCCTAAGGAGACACCTTTTAAAAACCCCGTGCAGAGAAGGGGCCATTGAATCGATGGACCGTATCCTGTTTATTTTGCTCCTCTTATAAAGATGCTTAATTGACCCATTTCAAGAACGCTTTCCAGGCCATTCATATTTTGTTGTGTAGGGTTGCTTCTGTCTGACCCGTAGAACTGCGCATCTTTTAAACATGGCACATTTTTGCTTTATTGTTTGTAGAACTTGCCCCATGATACAGACATGCTGACTGTATGGCTCACCTACTTTTATTTGCACTGACGTTCATTCGATTTGTGGGATTCATTCACTGAAGTTTTGTCATGAAACTGACCGTTGTTTTTTTTATTCGTTGCTGCTTTTTATTAAGATACGGCAGAAACTCTTTTAAAGGGTTAATGGCCGTTGCACGTGCAAAAAGGTAAAAAGGGACACATTATTTCTGCTAAGAATGAACGATCTAGCAATCTGCTGCCCGCCGCTAAATGTTTTCCAAAGATTCCCTGTGAAATTACTTTGGGTTTTCCACCAGGTAGTCTGCGAAATCTTTAAGGAATGAAAAGACCATTCAGCTGTGCTTGTCTCGACAACATCGGCTTCTAGTCCCCAATAATGCTAGCTTACGAGTAATGTTGTGTTAGTATGGTGGTGTCTGAAGGAATTATCTGCTCCCCAGCAAAGCAGGATAATTGAATTCACTGCATGGCGGACACCAAAGGTTCAGAACCCTTTGCTCGCCATGGGTTCAACTATGCGCTGGACCGTTCAACAATCCAAAATGTAGGAAGATTGCGGCAAGAGCCTCATTTTTGAGTCGTCTACATGTCAGTTAATTCGGTGTGGTTCAAGTGCAGCGACTGAGCCCAACCAGAAATACGAGTGGCAATTTATGGGCTGCTGCCAAGGCTTTGGAGAGGTTCTGTGCCTTTGGTGTAAATGTTCTGTGATGCTCCGTGTCCCGGCAAGAAAATAACTGTTATGGCGGCTTCGTTGCTTTTGTGTTAAACAGGCCTGTCTTTTGTGTGTTACACAGCTATGACGACTTCATGGGTTCCGCCAAAAATGTGATAAGCGAATCTGTTGATGCAGAGGAGAAATATAACATGATGGTAAGTCCTCCCTCCTGAGAATCTGTCATCTTCCTAATGTTTTGGTCGTTGGGTGATATGTAAAGTCTTCACTCCCGTTGTGACCATTGAGTTACGCTGTTTGTTTAGCAGCTGTTCAAAGTTAACAACTGAAAAAGTGACTTGTGATGACCCAGGGTATGGCACAAAAGTAGGTAAAGTCCCTTTAATTCCTCCAACGTCGCCTCCAATGTCCACTTATGATTGGCTGGAGAAAAGAAACACTCCCAAGAACAGTTTTTAAAGGGAAGAAATTTAGTCCGAACCAAAAGTACATATAAATTATAAATAAAAACCAACACAAACCACACTGCAGCAATTAACGAGACAGGGCAGGATAAGGAATTGCAGAACTCAAAAGATAATGAAACGCACACAGTTGGGAGGACGCCAGAACCCAGATAAGACGTGACAAACCAAGATAATGCATGCTTTGCTTCCAGCAAGGTTCTGTGCGCAAACACCCTTTATATCCTGTTTCCCCAGCTGCAGCTAATGAAGGGAATCAGGGCCTTTTCCTCCCCTGTAGCCCACGTTGCTCCCTTCTCCTTTCCTCCCTGCGTGCCCTAGGATGAAGAGGGGGTGGGCCTGGGTCTTCCTCTGAACGCCCAGCCAGACTGTGCCCTTCCCCAGTTTCCTCCATAGCTGCTCGATCTCCCCCTCAGAATCAGATTCCAACAGGGGCATGACACCCTCGCAGTTTTGACCGTTGTAACAACCCCACAGTTAGGCGATCAAACTTGGAGCGCTTGGCAACCGGCATGCATTTATGACAGATACAACGTCCCCTGAGTCACTATTTGAGACTTTCCCAGCCGGGGCAAGCCGGATTCGCTTAAGACGCACACAAATCACCGAACAACCGCGGTGATTTTGTTAACAACCATGGCAAAAATGGTCATAAACTCAGGCGTAATTTGTTTAACAAACCCCCCCCC